AGGAGCCTCATTCTCTTACAGGGGGAGGCAGGAGGGGAACAAGGTGTTACATCGCTGTCGGAGGTGAAGCTTTCGCAGCGGCCTTGGGTCGCCGGAGAGGACGTTCCTTGCAGTCTGTTTGCAACTGTCTACACAGAAATTCTTCTACTGCTCTCAGCTTTCTCGACTCGCTAGCCTGAATGTTTGCTGAAACTCTACACGTGACAGTGCGATTTAGAGGAAAGTCTTGCAGGCTGGAGCGCACAGAGTTGAGCTGAGGCTTTAGTACCTGGCCTGCGGCACCGAGCAGGTGGTGTAACAGTAACACGTACGAGTGATGCTGGATGGAGAACTTACTTCATTTCCTCGTTCCTGGGGCTTTGATCTACCAGCCTGTTACGTGTGTAGAACGGCTGGTGAGACGGTCACAGTGCTGCTTGGTGTTACTGCTGGTTGTTAGAAATATTTAACAGGGAATGAACCTGTGGCATTTAGAACCAGCAGCCAGCTAAAAGCTGCTCAGAAGTGCCTTCCACTAGGCTGACTCCTTTCCTGGGGAGTTGCCTGCATTTGCACATAAATGATGTCATTAGCCACTTACAATTAACATGGAAAATGTTTTTTAAATAATTTGTTAAGCAGTGCATCAGCTATCAAGCTTCTCAATAATCCATGGTTTTATAGCATAGTAGTCAAAACCTGATATAGTCGTACTCAAACTTCGTATGAGACCTTCCCTGCATGTTTTTCTGTTCACAGTTTCCAGGGGAATGTGCTCAGTAGAACACTGAGATCGTATTCACAGGTCAGCAGACCGTGAAGCATAAGTAGCGGTCTGCCCGTGCAGTGTAAGCAAGGATTTTAAGCTCATTTTAAGATGCAGCCCTGGCTGTGTGTTCACTCTGATATTTTTCTGGCCCTGCGGCTCTTCCCTATGTTTTACTTCTGTAGGCAGTCCCACAGGAATGCTTGTTGTGTTCAGCACTTGGGTGTCTTCTCTCTGTCCTTTGTGGTTTTGTCTTTGCATTCTGCTGCAATTGGTGTATCTGTGGAGTATGCCATAAAGGGAATGACCCAGGCCCACCTACTCTCTTACCAAGACGTTTCCCCATCTCTGTCTTTTTGCTCTTCCGTTCTTTTGCAGAACTGCTGGTGCCTGGGAGGTGGCACAGCAGCCTCGTGTGAAAGTGTAAGGCAAAACCTCATAGGGCAGTCCCTTCTCTGCGGAAGCATTGCGTTACTCTGAAGCTACTCCTGCTGGTCCTGGATCCGCGCACGATGGCTGTCCACGCAGAGAGTGAATTAGTAAGCAAGAAGCATGGTGAGAGTACGTACTAACGGCAGAAAAGCAGAAAGCTGAGGCAGAACTGCCCTATCGAAAACTGTGGAGAGCTCTCCAGGTAAGTAACGGTGCAGAACTGGTGCTGGTTCAGCCATTCCTGGGTTTGGGGCGCATGTGTAGTTTTAAGAGGTGCTGATGGGTCACACCTGAGTGACCTTTTCCTTCTTCATCCTTGTAGCACTGTCATTCAGCGACTAAATCCCAGGCATGGGGCCAATGAAATACAAGTCAGGCGTGTCCTCGGTGTCGCGTGGTCTGCAGTATCGCCAGTCGTTGATAAAGCGGAGCCCAGAACTGACTGTGCACGTAGTGCGGCCTCGCTGCTCATCAGCTCCGAAGAGGCCAGAAGCCAAGTCTGCAACTGAAACGGCCGTGGGTCTTCTGAGTCGGCTGACAGAAGCTGGGAGCACCCTGGGGAAAAACTCCCTGCAGAAAATCTCTGCAACGGGCAAGAGCTGGTGGGACAGATACGAGGAGTTTGTTGGCATTAACGAAGTTCGGGAGGCTCAGGGAAAAGTGACAGAGGTAGACACAGCAATCTAAAAATGATGAGTTAAGCTACACTGAGCATAAACACTGGCTGGGAAAGGGTGGGAAAGATCCCCCAGGGGGAATTATGTCCTTTTTCTCTGCTTGGACCGGCCATGCTGAGACTGTGAATGTGTTCTGCTCTCTGCGTGTTGGTAAATGCAGCTTATCCCTCAGCCTGAAACAGAGAGTCAGTGGCTTGGGTGGTTGGGGTTTTTTTGGGGGGGTGGGGAGGTGGTCGGGGTTTTCTTAATTAGTTAGTGATTTCAATCTGTCTGGTAATAAGTTGCTAACATGAATGCTCTCTCTTCTCAGGCTGAAAAAGTCTTTATGATAGCTCGAGGGATAGTACGAGAGGCTCGTGAAAATGTAGAAGCCCAACAGATCAAACTGAAGGAAATTCGGGACCGCTTGGACAGGGTCTCTCGGGACGACACCCAGTATTTGGAACTGGCCACTCTGGAGCACAGGTTGCTGCAGGTGATTTGTTGGTACTTGAGCATGGGCAGACATCCTTCCTAGTCCTGTTTTCAGTCCCCACG